AATTTTTAAACAGATTGTTCTTGTTGGTCCCGGAGGTTGCAGGCCCTTTATACAGGAGGCATTGTATGCGAACACACTGGCTCTCAAGCTGCAGATCCTGGGGAACATGGGTTTCACTGACAAATTAATAGTGGTAAATTCTCAATTTGTAGGACAAAGCTTACCAGTGTGTAGAATTTTCTCAAAATGAGTTTTTCTCTTGTACTTTTTCTTAGATCTTTGGAATCTGCAACTGCTCACTCATGTCAGAATCCAGTACAAGGTAGTATCAGATTTAGCGGAGAACATTTCTATCCTCAGCTTAGTACATCAGTATTTTACAGTGACTTTTAAGTATGCTGCCCTCAAGCTCAAGAACTACTGGAGCCCTGTCCTCAGCCATTTATCTTAAATGTAAGAAATTCCAGGTCAGGGGGAATGAATTAAGTGAAATGAAATGAATTAAAAAGAATTGGTGAGTCTTCCGGCTAGACCCCTTTCTGTGTTACTGTCTTTTTCTATCTATGATATTTTTGGTAAGATCCAAATCATGGAGAAGGCACCCAGGTGTTATTCATAGAATTGTACATCTAAAATTTTGATCCTTACCTACCGAAAACAGGTTAAGAAAGTCTGGCCACACAGATCTTAAACTGAGTAAGTTAATACATAGAGTGATGGGAGCACAGATGAGGTGCGGAGGGAAGGACAGGCCCCTGCCCTCCAGGGGCTCCCTGGCTGGAACGGACTAGTAAATAAATAACGACCATGGACTGAGATAAGTACTATGATAAGGGTAGACACGGAATGCTCTGGGAACACAGGACAAACAAGAGGTTGGGGTCAAGAGAGGCGACATCTCATCTATTGTGGAGCAGGCATTGGCCTGCTGATTAAGGAGAGGAGAGAGTTTTAGTCAAAATCAGTGTGTCACCAAGAACCACAAGATGTTCAGCATGGCTAGTGCTTGTACTAAAAATTAGTTAATAATCTTTAACACATTTTTCCTTTCTTTGTATTCTCATCTAATATTTATGAACATGCATTAGTTTTTAATTACCCAATTAACACATGTGCATGCTTGTAAAAGCTCAAAATTGCAAAGTATAAAAGGTAAAAATTACATAGATGAACACATGCTTCGTTTCTATAGTGTTGTAATTGTGTGTGTGGCTTTATATTTCTATTTGTTTCGCTTGTTTTGTAAGTATTTTCTTTATCTTTAATCATCATTAGTTTCAATGACTGCAAAATTTCCAATTATTTTGTGTCATACTAATTTAGCTATTCCCCTTTAATTGTATGTTTTTATTTCATTTTTAACTATTGTGTAATGTTGCTATAAATAGAATATGTATAGGTATATGTATATTTTTTTGAATTATTTTCTTAGAATATATTTAATTGTAGTGATTTCTTTACAGAGATGAACAGAAATTATAAATTTACCATTTAATGGAATTTATTGTTTTAAGAATATGGTCTAAAAATGTTTGCAAATCACTGATTGGTTTATAACTCAGGAAAAATTTTTCTAAGCTGATTTTTAAAGAGGGAGGAAGGGAGAGGGAGAGAGTGAAACATTGATCTACTGCCTCCTGCATGCTCCCTACCAGGGATAGAGACTGAACCCGGGCATCTACCCTAACCTGGAATCAAAGCAGCCACCCTTGGGTGAATGGGATGATGCCTAACCAACAGAGCCACGCCAACCAGGGCTCAGCAAAAATGTTAATGTCTCTATAGTGATTAAAAATTATATTAAATGCACCCTGGCCAGGTAGCTCAGCTGGTAGAGCATCATCCCTACACTCCAAGGTTGCAAGTTCGATCCCTGGTCAAGGCACATATAAGAATCAACCAATGAATGCATGGATGGGTGGAACAACAATTGATGTCTCTCTCTCTCATATCAATAAATTAAAAAATTATATTAAATGCATTTTTGCCTTTCAGAGTTTATCATTTGGGTGGGCATGCTAGTCAATTTCCCCTTGGAAAGATAATGCAAGTCAGCAAGTGAATTCCAAATTTTAAAATTCAGCTGTTAAGGGTGATATGTGAGTATGAACTACATGTTAAGCAATGTGATAAATGCTTTACCTGCATTGTTTTACTTAATTCTCAAAAGAGCCCTAAAAGATAGCTCCATTCTGCAGATGAAGTGAAGCTTTTTTGGAGGAGTTCTGTAACTTGCCCAGTTTTGCACAGCTAGCAAAGGCTTGGAGATGAAATGCAGGCTCCGGAGCCTGTGCTCTTAACCATCCAGGCTACTTGTGGGAAGGATGGTCTGAGAGTCTTCTCAATATCAATTATCTCTTAACGGAGGGTATCTGTTTTACAACCTGTATCTGAAAAGAGCTTGAGAAAATGAAAAACAAAACTGGATACAACCTCATCAACAGATGAGGCTCTTGTCTGGAGAAATTTCCTTTCAACATGGTTACTTATAATCAAATGCCTTTTAATAAGTAATTGTGCTGAGTGAGGTGCCTTCCAGCCAAGCGAACAGAATCTGTGTCCTCCAGAGACGAAGCCATGTGACTCTGCAGAGGACGTGGATGTTTGAACAGTGACCCAGGAACACATGCCTTAAAAGGCAAGATAAAATATTTACCCTGTGTCAAAGCACGGAACTTTTCTAGTCCACCAGAGTGAGCTTGGCAGGGAAGAGAAGTCTTCCCGGAGTAAATGGGAGACCACAGGGAAGAATGGGCAGGTGATGGATGTTGCTTTGGGTTTAACTTGAGAGACCAAAGATAGATGGATCTGACACGTGGGACTGATGCCAACCCACGTCTAATTTGGCCTCCTTCCCAGGACTGTGTCTAACTCACCAATCAGAGGACAGCCTCTTGCTCCACCCAATGTCAGTCATTTAATATAGACATATCTTCTACCCAGCAGGCCTGCCCACTGGCCCTGGGTGTTCCACAGTCAATGAGACTCAGAGTGGCTGTGTTGCAAGTTCCTCCTTTGATGGGCATAAAAGATGGATCCTCTTATGTCCTGGCAAAAGTCCTTTGTTCAGACCTCCCCATGCCCTTCCCATGTCCCCGTGCCAAGGAGGCATGAAGCCTGCCTGGTGCTGGTAGGGCTCTTTCCTAGCAGCAATCTAGAGGAAAATTCCATCAGTGCCTTTTAGATACCAATCTGTCCTCTTGGCTTTACCCAGTCTCCTTAATGTACAGTAATCAATCTATAATATTCCAACAGTAAGTTCCACTGCCAACACCTCCGTTCTCTGGCTTATGTCTGCTGCAGTGTGTGTAATCATGGGCTCTATTCTTAGGCTCAGAGAGGTGTACAAAAGTCACTTCCCTCGCAACTTACTATATTTATCCAACATTTATATAATCACTAACCATGTATCAGGCACTATTTCCTATTATATGTTTTCCTATTATATTAACTCATTTAATCTTCGTAACAATCCCATGAGGTGTTATTTCCATTTGGCAGCTGAGGCTACAGAGAAGTTAAGCAATTTGCCTGATGACATACAGCTAGTAATTGGCGAAGCTGAGGTTCATACCTACGCAGGCAGACTCCAGAGTCCTGACTCTTAACCACGGAGCTATGCTGTCTTCCAGGAGAACTTCCTAGTGACCCCTGATGGACGTCTGTTATCTTGAGAAAGGCATAAAGTGCAAGGCAAGACAGGAGGTTATAGCTTCAGAAATACAGCTGATCAGGAGATAGAGAGGGGCTGTAAAAAGAAACTTGTATTGCCTGGAAGGTACACACTGGCATGTTGGACACCCCCTCCCACTTTAGTGATAGCTGAGTTCAGTAGAGCAAATACTGTTAGTCTGGCACTGTACCAAATGCTTGGCATGCATTTTATTTATTCTTCTCGACCACAGGTAGGTATTCCTATCATTGTTGCCATGTTACAGAAGAAGGGACAGGCTTGGAGAAGTACAAGACCTTACTCAGGATCACATAACTATTAGGTGATGGACTCTGGATTCAAACCCAATTTGTCAGTAGCTCTTAACTGCTGCACCAGATCACACGGGTTCTCCTAGAACAGTGGTTCTCAATCTTGGCTGCACATTAGAATCACCTGGGGATCTTTTTAAAATCCTAATTTCTGGGCCTCATCCTCCAGAAATTCTGTTTATTTGTTATGGGGTGGGGCCACAACATTAGTAACAAAGGAACAGAATTTCCGGAGGATGAGGCCCAGAAATCAGGATTTTAAAAAGATCCCCAGGTGATTCTAATGTGCAGCCAAGGTTGAGAACCACTGTCCTAGAAAGAAGGGGGATTGGTATTGTATACATTTTATTTCCTTTAAAAATGTATTCTGTAATATTTCAGATAGAAAAAAAGGCACATTATGTACGGATGGCTTTATTCGTTCTCCCCACCCTCTCCCCTGTGCATGTCCCGATGAGCACCGTTCTAACATTAGGTATGTAGCAACAAATTACTTCAGATGCAAGGGGGGTCAGGAGGAAATTAAGGCAGTGTTAGAAAAATCAGAACGAGTTTTTTTGTTTTGTTTGTTTGTTTGTTTTATCCAGTGCCACCTATGTGTGCAGCACTACGCTGGGCAAGCTCAACGAAGAGAAATATCAGAAGTCACTACCTAAAGGAAACCACAGGACGCCACTTAGTTTGTCTCAGGAACTAAGTTTGGCTTAGACCAGGGGAAAGTCACTTCGTTTGGCTACAAAAAAAAAAAAAATGAATCTGTTTACACACACAGAGTAAAAGCATCTTATTTAGAATCGTATTTGATAATGCAAAAAGCTGCCAGGGTTTGGGAAGTGGAAAGGGCTCGATCCGGGAGCCATCATCCTTTACTCAATCAAGCATCACCTGAGGCCTGTCTCCCAGAGAGTGGGGATACAGCCGAAAATTTGGCAAACAGGTCACTGCCTCCTGGAGTTCATAGTCTGGTGAGAATATTCCCGCCTTGAGTCACTGCCAACCTCCAGCTATGTTACTTTGGATAAGGAACTTCTCCGGCCCCTATTTTGTAAATTCAATGGGGTCAGACTAGCGGATCTGCCACTCAAATTCCCAGCTCAAAACGTGATGCAAGTATCTGTGCCCACCAGAGGTGGGGGAGGCTCCACGGCTCCCCGGCTCCCCGGCTCTGCGGCGCCGCGGGGAGGCGGGAACGCGGCTGAAGTTGGAGCGACGTTCGCGTTCGCGTTCTGAAAGCACTTGTCCCTCGCGGCGCCCCGTCCCCCCCGCCGCCGCCGCCGC